ACTGACTCAACCTTCCTTTTTCATCATTCAAACACCGTTCGACCTAACAGTAGCACCTTGAATTAGAATGATAGTAGAGAAGAATGGTTTATTAGATATAAGAAATTAAATGAAAGAAACAAATTCATGCAACACAAAGCTATTTTTTAAGACAAGATAAAGTATAGAAGACCTTCAATATATAATCTGCTGAAGAATAGCTATGGAGCCACTCCGAGGCAATTCGAGCATAGCAACTGGATGTATCTGTAAGCAATTTCTCCTCAAACATGTGATAGTAAGTTCCTTTTTTGGGCCCATCATTTTCCACAAAAAAGTTAGAGAGGCCCTGTAGCAGGCTCCTGTCAATTGGTTCCTCCCTTCGGTCTTGGCTTATCTACATGTGGCATACTGTAAATCACTAACAGCATAGTTGGAATCAACAACAAACTTGACATGCTACTTAACAGTACCAGTAAAAGTGCAGCATCAAAAATTTTTGGAAGGAGATCATTGCAAACCTGAAATGAACAAATGAAAAATCAGTATATTACGAAGTTTTTGTGTCTACAAATAATTAAAAGAGTGATAATTTCCTGTAAAATATACAGAGACATTTACCCCATTCTGGAAACAGGAAAAGGCAATCTCTTTAAGGGGTGCAGATCTTTTCTGATCGGTGCATTTTTTATCAAGGTAAAGGAAAAACCCTCCAAGACACTTTAACATTGCTTTGTAATTTGTCCAGATACGTAAGAATTCAGCTAACAGAGAGGTACCACTCTTATCTTTCAGAGAAGGCAGAACCTAGAAGCAAAGTAAAAAGTGATATTCAACACTAGGCATTAGCAAGTGCTAGTAAAAGAAGATGCAAATAATAGATAAACCCACATTCATTGCATTGCTTTACTGCCGTTGCAATTGAAAACTACTAAAATTGGATATGATTTTCAGGTTAGCCTGCAATGCATGGCCAAAGCTCAAGAGACAAGGACCAATATGTTTTCTTTTGCAAAAATAACCTCTGATCCTGAACTCATCATTGAGAACAAAAAGTTTTTAAATATTTTGGCACTCTCTCCATTACATACTGAAGAAAATGTTGTATAGGCCAAAGTATACAGAGGTAACTCAAATCACATTGTTATAACAGAGGCCGACTGCATCAATGAGCACCTTAGATCACTTATTAAACCCTACCACTGAGTGTATTCTTAAACATAAGCTTAGGCCAATCAAATGGAACAGTGTTCTTTGAACAGCTGAAGCTCTGATATTAATTCTCATATTATTTCTTTTGTAAAAAAAAGTTTTCCTTAGCCAAGTCATCTTTGTAATTACAGAATCTTGGTTGCATTTAGTTATAATATTAGAAAGAAAATTCAATTTGTGAAGCATTTCATATCCAAATTAACCTGCAAATAGAAATGAATTGTACATCATCAGCATTCTACCCGTTTAAATGTGAGTGAAACCTATTACATAATCAAATGAAAGACAATAATACATACCCAAATGAAAGACAATAATATTTACATAGGCTAAATTCAGCATATATAGTTAAGACAACATTGAAGTGAAAACTTTGTTAGAGAAAATATGATCCCACTGTTGGTCCGTAAATTCTCACCTTCAAGTTTATACTCTCATCCAAGGTAGCATGATACCTATTAAGAAGTTCTGCTGATAAATCAAATGGGGGAGGTTGAACGCACAAGAGATAAACACAGCTATCAAGAGTTAAAGATACAAATTGCATGGGAATATAATAACACACTAAAGCTTATGGGGCTATAAAGCTTCCGAGGAATTAAACAAACAGGACAAGTAGAATGGCAGAATCAGAAATAATAAAAGTTAAACCTCCTTCTCTATAGTTCTTTCTTTGTGATTCACACTCCTTTTTCTTCTTATTTTTTTTTTGGGTGTGGTTGGGGGTGTTGGAATCAAAACTAACATTCACTTCCGGAAGCTATGCTAGCACATTACTTGGCACATTTGTCAAAAGATCATAGTCTTAGATCTAATTATTTTTGTTAGAACTCCAGCGTAACTAAAGAATATAATTGAAAATTTGACTTTCATGGTAGTTTCAAGTTAAATGACAGTTGCAAAAGCTGAAAACATATCTTAGCTAATATGATGGTAGAAGCCAAGCTGACACTGAGATACTGAAAATTTGGATGAATGCACATGCACAAACTTCTTTTGCCTCTCTGTTGTCACATGCCATGAAAATCAAAATGGTAATTCAGATGTAAAACAGCAATATTATTTTGATTAAACCTGTATGCATTTAGTTGAACAAGCCATTGTTGTTGTTGTACTCTCATAATTACCATCACATTTTGATGCAAACAGATTCTGCTAACTATAAAACAAATTAGAAAACCAATAAGGAAATACAAATAGAAAGGATCCTAATAACAGCGAAAAGGAAGGAAACACAATAACAGTAAACACAAAACCCAAATAGATCCTACAATGTCAACCCATGATATACGTCCAAATTGATTCACATAAAGAGAGAGAATATTCATCTTTGGTAATTAAAAATTCCAGCAGAGTTCATCAAACTAAAACCAAGAAACGAAAAGATTTGAACCATCATTAGCTGATTAAACCATCAGTTGCTGGGAACTAAGAAATCTTTTTGCAATTGAGCTACCAGAAATCTAATGCTGCATTTGGTTGGAGTAAGAAGATGAAAGGCTGGAGGACTCAAAATTTAAGGCTCATTGTCATTGTATGGCAAGGAAGTAAAAGAGAAAACGTGAAGTAAATGGGATTATTTACCTCACAATCTCAGTTTTTTCAATCCATCCAATATTGGACCAAAGAAGGAAGTTTATCACTTTTGCTTCCTTTAACCATACCAAACAACTAATTACCAATAAATCAACCATCTTCTTTCTCCCTAAAACTCCCCTCAAAATGGTCTTCACTGCTTTGGTCTAGTGGTAAGAGCATAACTTGTAATGTGTGTTAGGCGCACGTCATGGGTGCTAACCTTGCCGCAGATGAAGCCTGGTATTTAAGTGAAAAAAGTAGAGGCGCAGGCTCATTATTCACCGAGTTTTGGACCATCCACCACTTCCCTCAAGGATTCTCAGTTTGAAGGAAAAAAAAAGTATCTCCCCTCAAAACATAGAGTAATACTACTAGCAATAATGAATAAGGGGCAAAAAGCAAAGCAAGCATAACAAAATTGAAGGATACTCATAATATCTCATGTATTCTTCAGACGTGAACAGCTTACAGGCAGGGTAACCATCCAAAATAAACTTCACTTTCTTAATACCCTCCTCCAACGTCTTCATGCTCTCTTCCAGCTTCCCTCTGTTACTCATTCTCTCAATTCTTCAACCTATTCTTCCAATTTCTACAAATCAACAAAACCACAGCATTCAACTAAAACAAAATATGTAAAACACTAAAAAATACAAAAAATCACGCACAGGGTACTACATCGACACTTATCACCCTACACGATCATTCATTCATCAGTCCAGATACACCTCATTCCATTCAACACATAAATACTTTTATACGCTAGTATTTCACAATTCAACGTGCTATATAAACCTATACATACAACTGTATTATATTTATACATCAGTTTATACGACCATCACCGTACACATGTCATTTTTGGTTTAAAAAATTCACTAAAAATACAATGAACGATGAATCCGAGAAAATTTTAAAAGTACGTAACTAAAACAGAGAGGATTTTTTGCCGAATCAGTGTCTTACCGGTTAGGGTTTATCAGAGGGAATGGGAGGAAATTTTGTACTTTCCAGCAACGTCTGTTTCTATGTGATGAATGCATGAAAACTGGGGAAAAAGCGAAATATAAGTAAAGTTGAAAGCTGCCTCAAAAGCTGAATTTTCCAGTTGTATATCCGACGGTGTCGTTTTAGTAGTTTCATTCTCTGTTTTATGTTCTTTTTATTACAGCATATATTTGGTATCCTCATAATTATGGGATTTCATTGGAACATCCGGCGCATGCTAAAAATCTGTAATTAGATTATGATTTTGTTACACCTTAAATGAAGCAAGAATTATTCAAATAGATTAGCATGTTATCTCTACTCTATTGAGTACTACTTATGATTATACCTGTATTAATGCATATAATGTACGTGCAGCATTTTTACTAAGTATAACTTATTGAGGTAAAATGTATTTTAAATAAGAGTACGTGTGGGAAGAGTAAAGAAAACTGAAAACATTAAGATTTTTTTAAGAAAAGGAAAGAACCCCGAATAAATGGAAAGTCGAAACTGAAAAATTATTTTATGATGGTTTGATTTAATTTACAGATTTGACAAATTGAAGAAATTAACTCAACCAAATCATGTGTACCACTAAAGATCGTACACAACTGCACGTAAGTAGGCGTTTGGACATAAAAACATGAAATTTAAAAAATATTGAAGTTGAAAAAGAATAGTTAAAAATTAAAATTATGTTTAGATATGTATTTCAATTGAAAAAATATTAAAATTTTGTGCGAGAAAAATATTATTTACTTGAAAAAGAAGTGAAAATCACTTTTTCAAATTTGAAACTCATCTCCAAATTTTTCGAAACTCACCTTCAAATGTATAACCAAACAATATTTTAAAGAAGAGTTTAGATAAAAAGAAAAAAATGTACACGGACAAAGAGTTCCTAAGTTAATTGTTTTCGTATGTTTTTGAGATATTTTATTAAGTACTTATAACTATAGTTATTAATCTTAGGTTGAGTTTGAATTTGGTATAATACTAGTTCTATATAAATCTTGTTATGTTTTTACCCCTCTATCACGGGATTTCATCAAGAAACGCCTAGCTTACCAAGTGTAACGAGGTAGGAGTAAGCTGAGGCCCATTCCGACGTCTAGATCAATATAGTTCTTGTAGAAAGAGACATCATGTAGCCACTTTAAGGACTGCTTTTCAAGAATTAACCAATGCGCCCTGAATTTCAATTTTTCAGTTCAAATTTTCAGGAATGATAGTCATAACAATAAAAAATCGAGAATGAGACTTGTAAGAAACAGTGAAAACTTCGATTCCACCTTCCATTCTGGTCCATCAACGAAAGAAGAAAACAAGATTTTGGTACAAAACCGCCAGAACAGAGAAAGGAACCAGATTTTATCAACAAGCTAAAATTACAATTCATTTGCAAAGAGAGCTAACGACAGTGCAAAGATGGGGGCACTTCCTTAAAGAACTACATCGTCTTCCGGCTTGACTTTGTCTAATAATCTTGATTCCACTAGCAAGTGCGCATAGGTACGTTGTGCTTCTTTAAGCTCCTTCCGAAGCTTATTAACCTGCAACAAACATATGATGATTTTCCATTTGAAATCAGGTACTGCCTTCAACTACTGATGATTGAATAATTGACTTGCAACACTGAAATTTACTAAGGCAAAACGTTATTTAATTACCTTCCCATGAAGTTCTTCCTCCCTCTTCTCAAAATCCGAGCACCTGGGACAAGAACAAAGTAGTTACACATTAATAAAATTACAGGGGATACACAATGGTGCTGCAAACATAATGACACACACATTCTCTCTCTCTCTCTCTCTCTCTCTCTCTCTCTCTCTCACACACACACACACACACACACACACACACACACACACACACACATATGTATTTGACTTGATTGTAATTGTATTTTATATATTTCTATGAGATAACACATAAATATCCCCTATAACTTGTTCCCTTTTTCAACTACACATTTCAACTTGGGGACCTATTATACCCCCCATAAATTTGTCTGAAACAGAGTTATTACCACCTAGAGAGACCAAAACTGGATCATCATCATGGCATTGAGACCAGAACTATTTTACCCTCATCTTCTCCTGCTTCCATCAACTTCTACATTGATTTTTCTGTAATAGTCATCTTCTTCACACTCCAGTGTTGACCAAATATTTGAAGACCAATCCTTAATTCTCTCACCTTTTCCTAGAAAAACATACCCTTTTATCCCTTTTTTTGACCGGGGAAACACCATCATTGCAGTGAAAGAAATGGTCTGTAACTCTCAAATGCTTAGACCTTGACCAAAGCTCTTCATGGTCGCCATACCCACGGCTTCTCGCAGATGGGTATGTATTGTGTTTTTTGGTATTAACTTGTAGTTTGAAGCAATGGGTTCTCTTAATTGGATACAGTGTTAAATGGAAAATGATCTGTGCGTTAAATGGATGGGTCTTTGGGGAGAGTGGGTATTGCTTGGTTTTTGTGCTTAAGAACTTGATGAGAACGTTAATATGTACTGATGTCACATACTGGCATGTTATGGAAGTTGAATTGTGTATCTTCAAATGATTTGTTTAAGACAAAATCAAGTGTACTCTCTCTAATAGCTTAATTCTTTAGATGAAAGAGTCGCACAAGGTGTTAGAGCAAGGTAGGGGTCCTCATTGTTACCATCAACAAAAAAAGGAAAAAGGAGAACAGGTCCATATTTGCCCATGAACTTTGCAAAATGGTTTAAATTTGCCGCTCATAATAGTTTGGGGTCAGATCTACTCTTGTCGTTATAAAAATGGGTTAGATTTGCCCGACTAGTGAGGTCAGATCTATCCTTGTCATCACAAAAATGGGCTAGATATGCCTTAATTAATTAACAGGAAAGGCTTTCCAAGTACATGAGCCTTTTTTACAAGGAATATCAAATTTGCCCCTGAACTTTGTGAAATGGTCCAAATTTTATTTTTCTCAGCCACTGTCCTTCATCCATCTAAATCGATCGCCACCAAAATAATTGATTCTCTCCGCTCTCAAGAATACCACTGTTACTCCACCACTTCACCCTAAGACAAGTGTAGAAAGAACAAATGAAAATTTCACTTAGAAACTACTCCATTCAGGCCACCCTCATCTTTACCACTTCCCCCGTTATCATTTTACCTACACTAGAAGACCACTAGCTCATAACCATTACAACTCCACCTTGACCGCCATAATATTGCTGCAAATGATTTAGGAGCTGAATATTGTGTACCTGAGTTTGTTTTAGCATTAGGGGATCAATATGGAGATTTGTCCTCGTTATTGGTTATCTAAGAAGGATTGGTGATGGAATTGTGTCGATAGAGTTCCGGCAAAGATAGGAATTCAATTTGATGGTGCAATTGATCATTGGTTGAGTTGCATTTGAGTTGATTTGAGGCTTGATGGTGGTTAATTTGAGCTTGGGGGATAGAGAGACCTCGCCGTTGGAGGTTCTGAGTGTTGAAGAAGACGACGTTACTGCACCGGAACTGTGATCTTCTTCTTCAAAGTGCAGGGAAAAATCTGGAGCATTTCACATAGTTCAAGGGTAAACTTGACCCTTTTCCCTCGTAAAAAAGGCCCATGTGCTGGAAATCCTTGGTTGTTATCTAGCTCATTCTGGAATAGCAAGGGCAGATCTAATCTCGACTATTAATGGAAGGCAAATCTGAACCATTTCGCAAAGTTCATGGGAAAATTCAGACCTTTGCCCAAAAATAAGAATTCACGTGTCTGGCCCATAAACAATAATCGAACCCAGACGTTTGGGGCGTGGAGGAAATAATTAAGTAAATAAAGTGTGCTTTCTCTAACAACTTAAGCTTTTAAATGAGATTGTAAGACAATTCAATAAGAAAAGCGTGGTTTTTCATAGCTTGGTACATCAAGTTTTCCTACTACTGTCTTAAACATCTCATTGCACAAGGAATTCTCTTCTAACATTCTTTGCTTATCTATGAAAAATGCTAGAGGAGAATTTCTCATTGGAAATTATATTTGAAAAAGACAGAGAGAGGTCACAATTATTGGAACAGAATTCGGGGTGTAAAAGTTTAAGTACAAAGACAGGAAAAAACAGGGGTAAAAGCTAGAGGAAAAAGTCAAGTGCCCGCTCCATAAGGAGAAAAAGCTGATGGAATGAGCATGAGAGTGAGCTGGAAGCCAAGTGCCTGTAAAATATGGAAGTTCCTTTGGAACTAACTGGGTGTGCATTTTCTTTTAAGGAAGCTTTATGTGTGTGTGTGTGTGTGAGAGAGAGAGAGAGAGAGAATGATGCGTGAAGACGTGAAGCGGATGGCCGTTAGTCACGTGATGAAGCACAAAGTTACTGGAAATGACTTTTTCCTATAGGACTATTGATATACTTTTAACCCAAACCAGATTTTGAAAATGGAGAGAGAAAGAAGAGGAACACCAAACTTTTGGCCTTCATTTTTCAACTTTTCACACACCTCAGTGGAGGTGCATACAAATTCTTTGCCATGTCAGCGCTCAAGGGTGCAAAAGATCCACTCTGGACAAGCACAGGAGAGTTATAGTTCGCCTCAGCCACAATTGAAAGGCGAATTCATGTATTATCCCTTTTTCTATAATGTGTGTGTATACATATAAGGAGAAAAGAGAAGTTGTCAGACTACATAACTTTTTTGTCATACTTGCATTTCCTTCTTGTAAAAAGGCAAAAAGAATAATTTGGAACTTGCATTAGATGACAGACTCATTAATGAAGTATATACTTACTGGGCACGGAGCTTTTGATTCTCTTGAATAAAGTGGGAAGCCTCTTGATCTTGTAAGCCACTTGAAGTGGGAGTCTACAACAGTCAAAAGACATGCAGATATTGAAAAAAGAAAAGAAATAACAGTAGAATATTTTCTTATTAATGCCCAGTTCATTATGTCTCATCTTTGCGACCAATCTATCGTAGTTCTGTAGGCAAAGTAACTTATATGCAAATCAGCGATTAAGGCCAATAACAAGATCTTGACAAAAAGATTGAGGAGAAAATCCACATTAACCTGTACTCATTAAAATAGGCAATGAGCAATGCACCCGCCGAGAAAAGCTCTTCTAACACAAAAGCATGAGGTTTCTTTCAGATAGTATGTAGCTTTTTTTTTTTTCCGGATAACCGGAAATATCAAAGGGCTAGTGGCGCACAGTTCGAAACTTGGTAGGTAATAGACCAGCCCCTCTACCCTTTTCCACTTAAATATCCGGCTTTTGCCTGTATTATGGCTCAAGCCGATGACTTGCACATCATGCACTGTGCTTTTACCACTAGACCAAAGCCTTGGAGGCTTCTGGCAGTAAGTAGGTTTTGGCATGTCAAAATAATTATAAAGAATAAAGATAAAGGAACTTAATCATTTATATGGAAAAAAATTACTAATTAAACATCTTCCCTCATAGTCCCTTTTTAACAAGTATTGAGTTCATTCACAGCAGGGGAAGCGCTACCTCTTAAACTTAACATGAGATCCAAGAGTAAGAACTTCAGCTAATCAAGTCTATTATTCTATAGATAACATGCAGTCGATATGGTAAGTAGATTTATTCCTTCTTCAAGCTATAGCACACAATCAACAAGCAGTCAAATGCCAAAAGCAAACTAGGTTTGGCGGAGAAATAAGATGTGGAAAAATCCCAAAACAAAAATCTTTCACAAGCCAAATCCAAAGTTCAAATTTCTGATTTCAAGATACCTAGGGATAGTGATGCCATATTTTTTTATGGATGCAACTAGTGGTGACAAAAAACAGTTATACATCCATATTATCCACTAAAAATGGGTTAAATAATGAACTCTTTAAAAATAAGTCAAATATGATAAGATCCTTATTAACCACTAAAAAATGGATAACCAATGGGGTTTTCCTTTACATTTGCAATAACTCAAATTGGGGGTTCCTCAAGTTTGGGAGACTAGGAATTCTCCCAAAAATGATTATATTCAAGAAGCCACGTATAATATAGATATCCACTGGTTAACCTATTTACTATCCGTATTAAATATGGGTCGGGTAGGATAATTTGTCCGTTTTTGTATTACCCATTTTCTAACCGCACATATCTGACCCGACCCGCCCGTTTGCCACCCCTAGATGCAATTGTACAAATCAATACTAGTGGAAGGAGAGCATAATCAATAATACATACCAGAATTTGTTGACTTCGCCCACCGCCAGTTAAATCAACTACTAGTCCAGCTGTCCGTTTCAAGCTTTCCTGTTCTATTGGACGATCAGCTTCTTTCCTTTTTGAAGCTCCTGAGGTTCACAGCAGACAGTATTGTTGTCAATGGTTGAAAAAGGTTATACATAGAAATCTAATGTCAAAAGTAAAAGATGGTGATTCATCTAATATCAAAAAGTAAAAGATGGTGATTCATATAACCAAGCAGGCAACCACACACAATTGCACGAGTGTTTTGGGGGAATTGCCACTCCTACCTCAAAACTAATGACTTCATAGTAACTAAATCATTGACAACCTACAGAAATGACAAACGGAAAAAGAGATCCATTGTACCAGAGCATGTGATCATCCTTTCTTTCTCCTCAGAAATCAAAACCTGATTTTATGCCGACGCGTTGGAGATACAACGTTAACATGGTGAAGGAAAACATAAACCAATACTTGTATTCCCCTAACATTACGATGGAAAGGAGATATCTCTTCATAGCTGGAGAAAAATCATTTTGTGTTGTTGTAGGGAGCATGCAAAGGTACATATGGACTGAAAGGAGGAGGAATTTTGTTAACAAAATAGACACGGGGTGAAGAATCCTGCTGTGGATATGATGCGAGATATTGTAACGATTTGGGAAGCAAAAGGGGATGTCTAAAAAAGGGCAAAATTCAAAGCAACTTTATGAATATTTGGTTCCTCTAAATTTCAATGACCTTGTCAGATACGTCAGAATATTGGTTTCAAGAAGGTAGAGAAGAAACTTCATAGTTGTACCAGAGGTCACAAAAATGGAGGTTGGAAAGATATAGCTGGAATGTTTCAGATATTTGTTGAGAAGAGTGGTGGTCCCGTACCACCTATGACAATGAACTATGCTGAGGTGAAGAAACAGGAAGAATGGCCAAACTGTAACACCAGAGCATGGAGGAAAGATGGTTAAGAAAACTATTGAGATGAACAAGCGCTATATAGAACAATGCCTGGTCGGACCTAAGTATGTGGCCTAGCGTCAATGAGATGGGATGAAAATCATGGGAGATCAAGGTTCAAATCCCAGCAAAGGCAAAAAAATTAAGTGACTTCTTCCCACCTGCCTAAGTCTTGGTGAGCAAGTTAAACGGTATGTATGCTAGTGGGAGGTAGCAGATACCCGATAGAACAATTGAGGTGCACGTAAACTGGCTCGAACATTACCATTAACAACAAAAAACATTGCATGTATGGAGCTTTGGCGAAAGGACATCCAAAATATCAGGCTGCGCTAGAAATTAGTGATTGGGCTCGGGGAAGATAGAGAACTCATGTAGAAACTATGGTGAAGAAGATGATTGGGATTTTTTTTCTCTTTGAAATTCTTTCTTTTCATTCTACTTAGATGGATCAACATGATCTCCCGACAGAACATAAAAGGAGACGACAAGACCCGTGCGCGAGAATATGGTCATTAAACATGAATATTAAGGTCATCTATACATGATGTTTGACAATTACTTAGTTTAATCCAAAGTTCAAAATTAAAAAAGAACAAAGTTTTTCATGTAATGCGCTATCAAAATAGGTATGCAAAGAAACAGAAAAGTCGGATACTATTGCTCGAAAGAGAGGCCTCAAAAGTAAAGCTAGATTGCCAAAAGAGGAAAAAGAAAAGCTCCATTCTGGTTATCAAGGCCGTTAAAAATCCTCTCAGCCATGAAATACTAAGCACAATGATCTAGGACAACTCCATTATAGAGGTGAGACATAGCTCTCATTGACACATTACCTTGTCTAGAGTTATTTTGAAAGACTGGTGTTACAGTTCCGCGTACTGTAATGTTTGAACCAACAGCACCAGAGGAGTGTTTACCCAAGAAAACAGGTTTATATGAACAATGTTGTTGCCTAGATTCCAATGAAGCCTGAGGAGTTATTGGTCCAACAGCACTAAAGGAGTTTTTACCCAAGAGAACAGGTTTATATGTGCCATGTTGTTGTCTAGATTCAGATGAAGCCTGAGGAGTTATCGGTCGCTGAGGTTTTTTCTTTGGGTGGTAACCAATGAGCCCGCAGTGATAATCCCTGTCAAAGGATTAGCATTAAGTGAGGAAAATATTTAGGTAGTTGATTATGAAAAACTTAGCTCTGCCTTTCCCATCTAATCCATGAATATACAGGGAAAAAACTGCATGATTTCTGGTAAACAAGAAATTGATGACTATGCAAGCTAAAAGCATCTTTTCTATTTCCTAGATACCTGCAAGTAAATGCTGCCTGAATCTATGCAGATAAGACAAAAAATCTAATTGGCCAATGCTTGCAACTTACCTCCAATCAACAACAGAAACAGTTCATTGGCCTTTTCTTAATTTCAAGTAATTACTTACCAGTACTCCCATGTCATCTCCTTTAGGCGTACTTCAAGCTTTTGAAAAAGAGGGGTTTTCTCGAAGTCCTGCTTATTATGAGTTGGCTGAATAAAGTTTGCTTCTAAAACACCTGGAAGGCGAAGGAAATCATTAATTAACCTCTCTAGCCAGGTTAAGGGGAAAGTCATACAAGCATAAAGAATAGTCAAACAATGCAAAGATGTTCAGAGGCTTCTTACCAACAACTCCTCTGCCTCTACTATCAGAGTACCTTACAACATGCCAAAATGGCTGCAAAGTTACAAAGATGTAAGACTTTAGGAATTAGGAGAAGGTCAGTAAAAAATGTTTACTTATTGAATCAGTTCATAGAAGAATAATCCATCAAAATTTAGGTCACTGCTAACCCAGAAAACAATCCTTACAGGATAGAGCAGGTAAAGTAAAGAACAGACCAGAAGAAGAAAAGAAGTGGAAATTCTTAAATAAAACATATTTACGGCTAGATTTTTAAATGCTTGATTCACTTTCCTCGAAAAGAAGAAGGCCATCAACTTTACGCCCTAGCCTGCTTTCTAAACGTATATGATGAAGGAGAATAATGCAACATGGACGATAAAGAGTCCTCAAGTCTCAATAAAGTAATCGCATTTGAAGCTTACCACCTTAACAAGCTTTTTAGTTTTGTATTCTTTCCTTATCTTTGACCGGTAAAGTGATTGCCAAGCAAGTGAAACAGAAGTTAAACTGTACAATCAATCAGATTAATATCACCCATCATTTAAGCAGTTTTCATATTATTCATGACATTAAAAATCTCGAGGGTAATGGGCAAACTCCAAGATCCGTCCTTATAATCCAGTTTTCGAACCTCACTAGCTACTCAAGCATTTGGATGTAGGTGGTGCACACTTAGAAAGTGTTATACTTCTTATAGCTCATGAATATTCCTTTCATTTTGTTGTGTTTTGCACCTGTTATGTTACCTAACAAGGAAACTATCTCATGATCCGTCAGTTTTTCTATATTTGGAATTATTTGACGCTAATCCAGCTACCTTCAAGGTTTGGGGATAAGTACAAACAAAGCCAATTTTTCTCAGAAGTTCAAAATCACAAATTCTTAAAAATATAAAGCAACACAAGAAGCTAGTTACCAGTATCAAACGATTTTTGTGGTAGACATTGAACCCATGAACGTTCACCACTGGAGCTTCCTTTAGGAAGCCAATTGTAGTAATGACTGAACCCTGCGACCACCAACAGAAAGGAAACTTTCGGAGAAGTTCTGGAAATATAGGAACTTAATATGTTACTAGCAAACTTTTGGAAAGCAAAAGTAATTTGATAGTCAAAGGTCAAGCATTATAAGTATCTGATCCAGTTTGGAGACAGCTTTGAGACGAAGGAAAAACAAATGCTATAGTATGGAGCACTTAGAATATAAGACTTCATAATTACTAACTCAAAATGTGAACAATTCCAGATTTTCCTCAACTGTCTCGACCTCTAAAACCCAGATCAAGCTACTCTCTCTATAAATATCGAGAAAGGTAAAGCAATGTAGATAGGAATGCTGATAGTTAGGCCAACTGTATGCATATCTTTTAAATGGCCTTTGTACTTTAAGTTAATAAAACTTTATTACCTATCAAAAAAACCTATGCGTACAATTTTAAGGAGAAATTATGTCTACTGTGCAAAAAGTGCCAAACTATAAGCAAGCATATAATGGTTTAACAAATCAAGAAAAATGAAATGTTCAGATCCATCTAATCAGTGTGAAAAGGTGCAACAATTGCTCCCTCCCTCTTAGCATACTCAAAACACACTTTCTGGTTTTCAAAATTCCAATTTGAATAATGTTTTGCTCCTGATATAATTTTACAAGTTAAAGTTCATATAGCAATCCAAGTTTATCAATTTAAAGCATCATAGAATGCATTCCAATATACAATAATGGCAATGTTAACCAAGTTCTAAAGGTTGAGATACAAAAAAACCACCGCTTTTCTTTTGAATCACTTTGCACCAACGTTTCAGTTCACACTTCTCGGAAATGCATGGTTTCACCAATGAAGTCATAACCCCTTGCTTTGCTTTTAACAACATCAACATTTACTTGTACTACCACCAAGATTACATACAAAAGGAATAAATTCTTAATCTTCATAACTGGACTGTTGCCTCATGAAAAGGGATGGAGTGTGTAAAATATATTATAATATATCACACCAAAAATTACCACTCACATTAAAGGCAAACTCTGATACATACCTCTTTGAATCCAACTGTTTGAGGCTTATACATGATAAATTCAGGATACTTGAGATCCTTAGCAATGTTATGGCATTCAACAATCCGTCCACGCAACAGAATACAGAAGTTGTCTGGGATCCGCAAGTACAACACTGATAAATATGCCTGTTCAGTATGGGAACACCAAGAAGATAATGACCAGTAATCCTCTGATTTAAAAATGGAAGTATCAAGTGGAAACTACAAGGAAGATAACTTACACGTAGTGAGTAACGAAGACGGTTAGCAAGATGCAGGTCACTTGCTGAAATACGAGAGCCACTCTTCTCTTTATCGTTTGCATCCCCTGAAAGACGAATATCCTGCAGTTAGAGAAATAGAAGTCAAAATACAGCTATAGTTCATGAAACAATCAGAAATACGAAATCTTAAATAGGTAGTCAAACCAAACCTCAGGATCTGCCTCAAAGTCGAGCTCCATTTTCCCTTCATCATTAAACCACAAATTGTAGACAATCACCTTTGTGCCATGATCACCAATGTCATCAAACTGCAAATTAGATAGGGGGGGGAGCCAAAGTCAATATTGGTAAAAGTTTTGGAATAGCCTCACAGGATTGTAAATGCAACATAGCAAGCTTTAATAGAAAAGAGGGAATTGCCACCGAATAAAGATGAGAACTATATTTGGTTTGACAACTTCAGTAGGTGCTAGCCAAGGTTTCGGTGGCTAAATTTGAATGTCTGGAAAGCCGCGTGAAATTTTTTTGTTTGTTTTTTGAGAAAGTTATTTTGAAAATCGCGTGAATTTTAAAGATGTTTGACAACTTTATGTCACCAAAACCTTCTGCTAAGTCTCAACTTTGGAGCAGTAAAAATTTTTATTTTAATTTTTGATAGGATAAGTAAATAACTTTGGAGCAGTAAATTACTGCATGCTGGAAAATTCAAAATGAAAGTTAACTAATCGTAGGCTAAACGGACAACCATGACAAAACAAAAAAAAGACAACCAGAAAAGGAAATTTAACTACTCAAAAAACAATTTCAAGTACTTGGAAAAAGATTGAAAAATTTCAACTATAAAACTACGCCTCAATCCAAACAAGTTAGTGTCGACTATATGAATCCTCATTAACCACAAACAGTGTTATCAAAGGCGAAAGGCGCAAAAAAGCTCTAAGGTCGGTTGGGGCTTTAAGCGCAAATAAAGCATGGGCTTTAACGAAGAAAGGCGCAAATGGAGAAAAACGACAAATATTGTGTAGTCCAAGACTAATATCTATAAGCGGGAATACCAAATATATGGACAAAAAAATTGAAGAACATTTATGATAAAGTGAAATATCAATTGTTTAGTGTCGCCTCTTCAAGATTACGCTCATTCCCAGCCTTGATGACAATATTGAAGCTCCCGCTAAGTGAGGCAAAGCGCTCAACATGTTTCGAGCCTCGCTTCAGGGCTTAAGCGTGCTTTAAGAGCGCCTTTGATAACACTGACCACAATTTAAACTATAAAATCAGCTAAAAACAACTTAAACCATTCCACTCGTGACACTCAAGGACTTGCTAGATTTAATAATCCACATCATTATTTAATGCATGAGGCATGAATCAATTTGCCTATTCACACACACCATCATGCATCGTTTTGAAAATGGAAGTGCTATAAAAATAATTAAGGAAAATGGAATAATCCCTATATAAGGTCTTTTCTATATAGGAAAAGATTACCCAGTCTGACTTGTACTTGACAAAGAAGGAGACCATTTTCCTCATTACTTGGGGTTCAGGTGGCTAAATGTGGGGTTGAAAGAAGTTTCAAATGCTATTTATCTATCAAAGTAATACTGGAAGTATGCCTGTCAGCAGCACCACAGTTAGATCAGAATATCAGTAGAAAAAGCAGCATTATCATTTTGAAATAACAATTTGAAGACAAGTTAGAAACAAAATCCAATGCCTTTATGTTGAACCCAGAATGGACTTTTGGCATGCAAGATTTGGAATACTATACCAATGGTTATTTGGTAAACAATTTGGACAGAAAGACACAACAAAGTTTTTTAAGGCAAATGGAGGAATATACATAGCCTTAAGCACAGATGTACTTTTTGCTAGCTTTTTGGTGCAACCTTGTCTATGAAAATGATGTTGATTCCTTGTTTGGATTTTGGAATGACCGTGGACTTGTTTGAATATGTAACTTTTGACATACTACCTTAGAGCTGTCTATATCTTTTATAAAATTCACCCTCATAAAAAAAATAATGCCTTTATATCTCCATGAATATTTTTCAGGTACAGTTAAATACCCAGGTATACTTCCAATGATGGTGAATAAAATATGAATATAACTGACACTTCAAAGGAGGACTTGGCCGATGAATCTAATATAGATCATCACCACAGAGTGATTCGTAGGTTGACAACATATTTAAGAATGAAGAAAGAAGTTAGATTTATATCTATAATTGCTTCTCTTTCTTTTCTTTTTTTTTTTTTGGTTCGTATTCCCCAGTAAGATGCAAGGAGGAGAGCTCACATGAAGAAAGAAAGCCAAGGAAAGAAAAGAGGTTTATTATAAAAAGGTTAAAAAAACTGACAGAAAGAAGGCAACAACCTTGAAAGCCACCAAAACTTACTTGCTTAAGAAGCTCTGCTTCTGTTGCAAATGGAGACCAGCGCAACAACAAGGAAAGGTTACTCACAAAATGCTGTTCACCATGTAACGAGTTCCATTTTCCAGCTGCTGAACTGAACTCAAAGTCAATCTGCATCACCAGAACGAATACTTTAAGGCATACAGCATGAAGGTTGGAAGGAGAATAAAAAAGCAAGAACTATAAGTCACCAGCAGTAACTGATGTTTGGTTACTGTTATTTAACAACTTATGATCACATGGGCAGAACCCAGGTAGCACCCCACCCCACCCCCCCTCTATGTATGAATGTATCTGATTTTGTCTTCATTTTTCTTTCAGGGAAATAGGAGGAGTTATCTAATAATGAGACATGCATAAGAAAAATTTGGAGACCCAAGTTAAGCAAGAGACCATCAGACAAAGGTAGAAATCAACATCAAAGTCATAATTGATAGAACACCTGAAAACTCTAATATATCACAAGAAGCAAATTATAAAAACCACCTAAAGGATAAGGATAAAAGCTACTCTGTTAATAACTTTACATACTAAAACTAGAGTAGTGGCAATGTTACTGTTTTTTATGGAGAGAAAGCACATATCCATCTGATGTTAAATGAAATAGGAGGAGTTTAACATATTAGTTTGACTTTCTGTACCATATTTGTGAAAGAAGAACAAGATATTGTAGCTAAGAAGTTAAAGGGTGATTGGGAAACCGCCATATCATGGTTTGAGCTATTAAGACGATTTAAACTCAATTGCATACTTAGTCGAGGAAAGGAAAAAGGCTCACCAAAGGAACCACTATTCTGTCAAGGCCCGCTCGGGACAGAAATGTCTGAGATAGAAGCCCAATGCTTTGTGTCAATTTCCTGGTCACAATAGCAACATATAGAAGATTAGATGGGGTTACCTGAGCATAGACCAGTGCCTGGGTGAGCAACTGATGTCACAAAAGAAATAAACCTTCCACGTCTTCTAGTTTAAATTGGTTTTACTTTTTCTTTTTTCTTTGGGGGAGGGGGGTTGGTAGTTGTTGGGCTAGGCCTAGAGATTTTAAGGCAATGCCCCCTCCCTGAAGCTATATGCATTAGATAGATTGTACATCTTTTTAAGGTGGAGACAACTCTGCTAGAACAGGAAACTAAAGCAGCTTAAAGGAAAAAGAATAGAGAAACGCAGAATATGAAAAGAAACTGTTGTTAGCTCTTCTACATGTTGTTAGCTCTTCTACATGTTGTTAGCTCTTCTACAGGCAAAAAACTAATGTTCATGAAGGTTCACAGAAGTCCTCAATCGACATCTAAATTGTGAGTCTCTAGAAGTACAGTATAAACAAGTAGGTCAAAAAATAACATTTCTCCATTCAACTTTAATTGCACATGCTCCTCAAAATGGAAACCAAGCCCCTCAAATTATATTTACAAAAACCTCTGAAGTCCTCCGCAAGATTCTCCTATAGGCTATAGTAAGCAAAGATCAACATTGATAACCTAGAAAGATAACTAATAGATCTGCAAGATCATGTGACAGTCTAGGACAGTTTTTGATCAAGTAATGATTTTATCAATCAGCATCCAGAGGATCCAAGCAAAATACAAAGGAGTTGATCTCCTGATGATATGATCATCATCTCTGAGATAATGCTGTGCTTCTAAACAAGACATAAGAAGCTACCAAGACCCAAAAAAAAAATTACATTGTTTACATAAGGACTTGGGCAAAGCATGTTTCAGTCTATGGCTTTCAAAAGAATTAATTTTAAACATGGCAATTTGTTTTCCATTAATAAAAAGTCACTTTGGCAATACTGAAAATGAGCTGATTCTACTCGATCTCCATCGGCATTGTATTTTTCTATATAAATGTATGTGTGTGTATATTAAATACAATATCGATAGTTCTCTACAAACCTTCAAAGCTAGACTAATAGCATTTAGACAAAAAGTAGGAGTTTGCGTGTATACATACAAACTCAAAAGCAGAACCAATCTTAATCTGTGAAATGCTTCTCTTCCCCTCAACTATTCAGCTTTTGGGAGAGGGAACTCATTAGAAGTCCACCAGAATAAAACCTTCATTTTTCATGCACAACATACCTATCACAGAGAAGCAACTTCTATAGTTGATTTTTCTTGACTTTGGCATGTCAAGATACATACAACACACAAATATGTATACGAGGAGATTTCCATACTATCTTGTTTGGACCAGCATGACCAGTTCACACCTATTTTTCCATTATCACCAACAAGCAGTCGTAACCATGTAGACATAAAAGGGACACTCACAAAATACAATAACCATGCCTCAGTCCCAAAAAGTTGGGGGAGTCTCACAAACTACAAGTCAAAGAAATCATCAAGGCTCTTTAGAACTTCTAACAGGCTTGTAGTTGTTTTTACCAGAGAAAAAGGAAAAGAACTAATCAAACAGAAAGGGAGAAAAAAGTAAAGATAAACCAGCACATGCAAGAATTAACTACCACACCTGTTCTTTGTGCAGCGGCTAAAGACAATAACATCTGCCCCAAGTCTCATTGAACTGGTCTTAAAACCATTTCCATCTAAAATGCTGAAAGTTAGCAATTAACAAGACATGACACAAAAAAGGACACCATGATAATTAACATGCATACACTGTCCAATAGCTGAAGTTGACTTCTTATCCGAAAATCCAAAACTCATACAACGACGTATGGCTTCTGGGTCCATTCCACCGCCATCATCTGGAACAAAGATTAGAAATAATTACAATCTCATATTCTAACCTTTTTCTTCAACTGAAACCAGAGCAATCAAAGCGTCAGTATGAATTGCTATTCACTAAGCAAGAAAGAAATGGAATACCTTGAACCAATAAAGCTGAACTTCCATTCCTTGGATTCAAGGTTTTATCTACAATAACAAAGGTGGCTCCATTTTGTATCTAACCAGTGGAAGAAACAAGGGTGCAAAATAGAAAGTGAAAGCATTAGCATGAAGGTTTGGACAAAAGGGTTGCAGTATCTCAGCATTGCTGACACCTTAAAAGGCACATTATCATCAGGGTCAGGGGATCCCAGAATAAACTTTATTCAGCAAGACAACCTACTCCTAGCCCAGATTTTGAACATATACATATCCCATCCAGAGGCCTGGAGCATTTTACATTGTCCAATGTATTACTCCCGTTAGATTAAATCTTATTTTTTATTTTTATCCTTTTTCCGATGACGGTGTAGTCCGGGTGGGTCAGCTTGCGCACATAAATTAGATTTTCTTCATATTTCACTGTCACAGAAAAGTTTACCTATTTCCTTGAATTGTATTTTTTTATTGCTCCAGCAACTCTAAATAATATATAAATTTTATTACTTTATACTATTCCAAACTTCTGTGACATTTCACTAACTACTCCATTTCTTCACATTTCAAACTATTAAGCATCTACCGAACTTTTTGAAAATTAGCTCCTAATGTATCCAGTCCAATATAAGGAGCACCTATTATACATTATTAATCAAGTCATAAGAAGTTTTTCTATTTTTACAATGTGCCCTCCTTTCTGATAAATAAGTTAGTTTTTATTAAGAACAAAGAGTGGTAACCCAGCATCCAAGAAAGAGCGTTATAGAGAAGAACTAGCTCCTACTGTATCCAGTCATCTATAGAGACAGGGATTTGCTAAGTGCTCCAAAAATACACCGAAAGAAAAATGCTCTCTCTGTGGGGCATTGAATATTCCTTTCCCAAAGACGCCTTCCTGCCAGATTGCCCAAAATATGGCATATGGAAAGGCCTCACCCATTCTGCTCATACTTTGCAGCATTCTCAGCAGTAACCAGCATTTCAAGAACTCGAAACCTGCTTCTGCCCTGTTATACCTAATAGATCCTACTATATGAGTACTATAAAGCTTTATTTTTTTGATAAGGTAAATATTTTTATTAACAATTGAGGACTAACCCCGTATACAAGCCGTATACCAAAAAAGAGAACCTACACCAAAATATAGTTCTCAACAAAAGAGATCCAATCCTCTATACAAATAGGGACCTCATGAGCAGTGGCGTATGCAGAATTTATTATAAGCGGTGTCACATTTTAAAGAAGTAAACAAATGACCTTTTTACCGATGCGATACAATTTCTATCTGAAGTAGTAAAACTTTAAGAATTTCTAATTAAAAAGTAAAAGAGAGAAGGACGAAAAAGTAGGTTCGATCCATACATGATCTTCAAAATAAGAATGAGGATATAATAAAAATAAAATTCAAGGCAGGTTCGATCCCTCAACCTAGCCTAAAGAGTTGGGGCGCCGGACCAATTGACCAAAGAAAGGGTTAATGCAAGTGGTGTAACTTATTACTATTTTTATTGTATCTCGTTTTCCAGATTATTTTATACATATAAATAGCAAAAAAATTTGACGAAGCGGTGTCAGCTGACACCGCTTGGACCTTAGTGCATCCGCCCCTGCTCATGAGTACACCAAAAACAAACTAGGAACAGAAAACTACTTTGCAACTTCACAAAATCTTGTTCCACCCCTTCAAAAGCCCTCCTATTTCTCTCTTTCCATATCACCCACATGATTGCTAAGGGAGCGACACTCCATGCCCTTGGACATCTCTTTCCACTCATGTGAACCCAAGTATGCAACGGTTCCTTCACTGTACCCAGCATCGCCCATTGCACCTCAAACAAATTAAGGATCACTCTCCACAACTGATTAGCCACTTTACAATGCAATAGGAGATGATCTAGCACCAACTAACATAGGTGATCCTTCTCTTTCCCAGGTTTTCTGCGGTCAAAATCGCTCCCCTCGCCGCCAACCACCCAAGAGTATAAAGCTTTATTTCACCCGAGTATAAATTTATAAGAGTATTGACTAGTTAAGTTCTCTCAATAAGGTGGACTCCACACCATCTCCCTCTATCTCTCCACCTAACTCTATTTGTTCCTTCTCCTTTATATCTATCTTTACCCTACTTGTTCTGCGACTTCTTCTTCAGCCCGCTGTAACTTTTTCTTTCTTTTCATGTATTATAGATACCATAATTGTTCATAGTGAACAATCGTCTATCCATGTTTATCATTTTTGGAAATTTTCAGCTATCACGATGATTAACAATCGTCTCTTTCCCAAGTTTTCTGCGGTCAAAATCGCTCCCCTCGCCGCCAACCACCCAAGAGTATAAAGCTTTATTTCACCCGAGTATAAATTTATAAGAGTATTGACTGGTTAAGTTCTCTCAATAAGGTGGACTCCACACCATTTCCCTCTATTTCTCCACCTAACTCTATTTGTTCCTTCTCCTTTATATCTATCTTTACCCTACTTGTTCTGCGACTTCTTCTTCAGCCCGCTGTAACTTTTTCTTTCTTTTCATGTATTATAGATACCATAATTGTTCATAGTGAACAATCGTCTATCCATGTTTATCATTTTTGGAAATTTTCAGCTATCACGATGATTAACAATCGTCTCTTTCCCAAGTTTTCTGCGGTCAAAATCGCTCCCCTCGCCGCCAACCACCCAAGAGTATAAAGCTTTATTTCACCCGAGTATAAATTTATAAGAGTATTGACTGGTTAAGTTCTCTCAATAAGGTGGACTCCACACCATCTCCCTCTATTTCTCCACCTAACTCTATTTGTTCCTTCTCCTTTATATCTATCTTTACCCTACTTGTTCTGCGACTTCTTCTTCAGCCCGCTGTAACTTTTTCTTTCTTTTCATGTATTATAGATACCATAATTGTTCATAGTGAACAATCGTCTCTCCATGTTTATCATTTTTGGAAATTTTCAGCTATCACGATGATAATTATGTGCCCCTAAAATAGGTATAGCCCACCAAAAGTGGAAGACAGTTGGTGCTATACAGAAAGTAAAAGAAAAAAGGAGAATAAGCTTGAAAAGAGGCTTACCTCATCAACAGCATTGTCAAGAAGCTCCGCCAAGGCTTTAGACACCATAAAACAATAATAACTAAGTTAAAACTCGGGTAATAGCATTTGCAATACATGTAAACCTATCACAATGTAAGTATATGAAAACAAAAAATCAACCAGCAATTGCACATACCACCAAATGCCCATTTATGGGAAGTTGCATTTGAGTGAAGGAACTTGGGGTGAATGTGAAGGAAACTGGAGCCCTCTGTAATGCCACAAATTAGATGGCAACAATCTTAGATTAAAAACACATACTACTTGAATTACAGTTAAAGAATCAGGCTATAAGGCAACACTGAAGGGTAAGCAAAATCAAGAAAAAAATTGACCAACTACTCAGCAGAACTCACTTAGCAGGCATGGTTAATCAACTAGTGGTAACTTCATATGGTCCTTTTACCCAAATGAACATAATGATCATTTGCTAAAAGTAAATTTAAAAAAGTAAAATTAAGTACTTCAAAGTATAATACTTTTAAGGGTGGACTTAGTAGTAAGCCCCTCATCATAATTTCCAGCTCTCCAGAACTGGCGAGATAGGGGTGCTGGACAAATTTGTGATGTAGAACAAAGACTTGAATCATCTATTGGAGACTGATCTTGATCCAAGACAGTGGTGCCACTCTGCTCAGTAGTTGCAGAATCTTGCCTTCCACAATTGCTTGAGGTATTTTGGTATGGCAAGGGGTCAGCTTCACAGTATTCCATTTGTGGTATTGAACTTTCAACCAATCCTGATTCCAACTTAACAGCCTTTGTCTCCACACCTCCAAGATTGTTACTACACAAGCCAACCATATTTGTAGAATTCATCCCAGGACTGATAAGAAATTAAATAAGGGAAAGTAAGTATAAATAAATAGGCTAAAATAGATTAGAGAACTAGAGGGCAAACATGATAGAACTTTGAAGAAGAGTGAAAGCACAAAAGGAACATTTTCCCACGGAAGCAGATAAGCAAGACCAGTGATAACTTAGGACTCGTTTGGTTTGAAAAAAGGTTATCCTGGGACTATAATCCCACATCCAATATGGGATAGATAATACCAAGACTTTGTACAAAATATTATAGTGGTATTAGCTAATACCAATAACCAAACACTGGACAAATGTAATCACATATTTTATACGACGATTTTTAATCCAAATCATATAATTTAACACTTAGCAAGGTGTGTGGCCTAGTGGTCAAAGAAGTGGGCTGAAAACCCTGAAGTCTCGGGCTCAAATCCAGTGGAGGCAAAAATGTTAGGTGATTTCTTCCCCATTTGCCCAAACCTTGGTGCACAGAGTTACCTAGTACCGGTCCACTGCCATTATCCAAAAAATAAAATATATCACTTGGTTAAGTGATAAATGTGTTGGTTTGATGTAAACACAAGGTGCATGTAAGTCTAATGTACATCTCCTAGGTAAGAAAAACTCAATAAAAATAATGGCAACGAAATCAAACTTCTTGAAGATAACGCCAGACCTGATGAAAGGAATTCAAACAGTTTCCGGAACAAAATTTCCTCAAACCTCAGAGCAGTAGAACACCAATATCAAACTTCAGTTTTCACAGCATGAACAGCCATTTTTGTGTCCCCACAACTGCTTCATATCGGACGCAACAGCAAGTTCTAGGTTTTCAAAATTTACTCTTCAATTTCTTGCATCCACATTCAACTTCCTTATTTATTTTCCCCTCTCCAACTTAGAAACTCAAAAAAGACCCTAAACGTTAATTTTGCAGAAACTTCACAAGTGACTGCTTGGTTCAATTACAGCAGTCAAATGCGAACAAAAATAAATAAATAAATAAAAGATATGGTGGGTGTTAATCTGAGTGAAGGAATTAGGGATCTAAAATAACAGGAAAAATTGGAATCTTTTTGAAGAGGAGGGAAATAATTCAAGAAACAGTATTGACAGGGAATCTGGGGTTAAGATTTCAAAAAGGTTGAGGACTAAAACGGCAAAGAAAGATGTTTCGAGGTCCCTCCCTTTTGGTCCCTGTGGATTAAAGCTCCAAGAGCTAGGGCTGAATATGACGAGACCTGTTGACGGACACCAATAAATAAGGCGTTAAATTCGTTGAAGCAGCCGTGGTTCAGTACGTTGTGATTTCGCCTTTTGAAAAAAAAAAAGAGTACGAGAACATGACAAAAATTGTCCTTTATGTTTGGGTTAGGTTGATAAATAGCCCCTTAAATATATCTTGAGTAGGTTTGGTCCGCTGAAAGTGAATATTTAACAAATTCTAATGGTTAGATTTAAGGTGCTTGGAAAAAATTTCAGCAAAAACTCACATTTAGATGTTTCTGTTATAAAATATAACCCAAAATAACAATATAGAACAAGCAAAAACAAACTAAGAGATATAAAGAGAAAGAGAGATTCTTATTTATTCTTCAATTGTATGTATTTTTCTATCTATTACAAGGCCTTTATATAGGCATAAAAAGTGAAGAAAATATATCATGGAATATGTCATTGAACATACAAAATATGTCATTGAATATGTCATTAAGCATTTGAGATGAAGATTATGGAAGAAGAGTAGACATCCACCATATTTATCATAACACTCCCCCTTGGATGTCCAAAGATAATGTGCCTCGTTAAAACTTTACTAGAAAAAAACCCTATGGGAAAAAAAATCCTAGTGAAGGAAAAAGAGTACACATGATTAGAAATACGCTCTTTTATTGCCTCGTTAAAAACCTTGCAAGGAAAACTCAATGAGACAAAACCTTGTAAGGGAAAAAGAGTACAACGTGTATTAACTCCCTCTGATGAGAGCATCAACTCACATCCTTGAGCCTTCGCATCCCAATTTTGTACACCAGTTTCTTGAAGGTTGATGTTGGTAGAAATTTGGTGAACAAATCAGCCATATTATCACTTGAACAAATCTGTTGCACATTGATATCACTATTCTTTTGAAGATCATGTGTAAAAAATAACTTTGGTGAAATGTGCTTTGTCCTATCTCCTTTTATGAATTCTCCTTTCAATTGGGCTATGCATGTTGCATTGTCTTCATACAAAATTGTGGGTAGTTTTTCACACTTCAAACCACATTTGTCTCGGATAAGATGTATTATAGACTTCAACCAAATACATTATCGACTTGCTTCATGAATAGCAATTATCTCAGCATGATTAGAAGAAGTAGCCACGATTTATTGCTTAGTCGATCGCCAAGATATGGCAGTGCCGCCACATGTAAACACATAACCTGTTTGAGATCGAGCCTTATGCGGGTCAGATAAATATCCAGCATCGACATAACCAACAAGATCGGAATTGCAATCATTGCCATAAAATAAGCCCATATTGGTAGTCCCTTTTAGATATCGCAATATGTGTTTGATCCCATTCCAGTGTCTCCTTGTATGAGTAGAGCTATATCTTGCTAAGACATTAACCGAAAAAGTTATGTCAGGCCTTGTAGTGTTAGCAAGATACATTAGTGCACCAATTGCACTAAGATATGGTACTTTAGGACCAAGAAGCTCTTCATTCTTTTCTTGAGGTCGAAACGGGTCCTTATTGTAAGCACGTGATTTTTGCCCTATATGAGAATTACTCCAAAAAAAAAATTAAAATAAAATGATTTTCCTTGGTGTGCAATTTTGAGAATTTTTGTGACATTT